GTATCCTTCATATGACCATCAACACGAAATCCGTCACGCACCCTGAGAACAGTCGACGACAACACTGCTGAGGAAGCGGATCACTGAAAGGCAGAATGGGAAGCTCTGGCCGTCTATAAACACTTCAGCTTCAAGCCGACCACCAACTTCCCTGGCATGGAACTCGCTCACCAAAAATGGTCGAAGTTAATCGTTAAACTGGAATCAAACAGGACAGTAGCGTTGTGGACTCCTTGGAAGATGACGTACAGCCCACGGAGTGAGTGCAGTCATGAAGATCAGGTCATGTAGCATCTGATTTCTGAGTGCTCGCTGCGGAATTTCGATAATAACACGCACGGATTGCTTACTCACCGGCCATTCATTGCCTTTAACGATGTATCTGGACCTTTGACGATGAAATTGCTAGTCACTTCCTCCCCCGGTCATATGACATATAACAAGAAGAGAAAATTACCATCAGCTTAATTTTGGTGTCCTTGCCAATGAAACCAGAACGTTCAGAATCTTTAATAGCGAAGGCCTCTCGTCCTTGGCGTTAAAGTGCTGTGATGCCTGAGACGTCGGCTTTGAACTCCGGGAGGAGGTGCCGGGCTCGTTTGCTGAGGAATGCAGTCTTTGTCTTAACCACAAATTGCCGTGAACAAGGAATTTATCCACGCTGCCTCGGAATATGGTTGTTCAGTTGGTGGAACGTCGAGTTGGAGCTTCGATCGGTGTCGCGCATGTTTGTTCCTTCCGACGTTAATAAATGGGTACCACTCTGTTGGAAGGAAACACAGACTGCCCACTATGCTTACCACATGGCTGCTGACGACACTTCTTTTAAAATAACGCACTTTTGGCTAATTGATGGAAATGTAGATCGTCCTTCTCATCGTTAACTACTTCATGAGGAAGAAGGACGTTAGCGTTTCCCCGTCATGAAAGTGTAACAAAGACCGATGTTGGAACATTACAAACTTTTCTTTCCGTTTTTAGCTGCCCTGCAACGCATATATTCCAGATGTGAATAAATACTCAATTTAAAGACAGGAAATCGCATTTAATGATGTGTTGGATTAGGTTGATTTGCTGTACAGAAAAGACCAACATTGATCTGTTTTAATCGGATGTCAAAGAAGGGCAATAGTTGTTCAGTGGATGTGAAGGTGGGAACAGTTTTAAGTGGCTAGTGACATCTGCTGCGTTCATATAATTTGGAAAGTAAGGGAAATACTTAAGAATCGTTATCGTCAGTGTAGCAAAAAAGTAAAAAATTTGTTATATCGGGAGGACCAAACTGTCATGTTTCTGCCTCATTTGCTAGCAGAAAATCCAGAATATCATTCGTATTTTTTAGTACGAGCGTTGTATCTTTTAGAGGTTCATTTTTTCATTTATGGTCATGGTACCAGAGTAGCAAAGAGTTCGGCTTGGAACTCCGGAGTCGTCGGGTCTTTGTCTTAACCTCTAATTCTTTTGATTCCGGAATTTACCTTACGTTGCTTCGATGTAAGCTGCCAAGAAATCGGTAGCAAGTCGTTGAATTTATTGTCAGCCAGGACAGCATGGTGTTTGGTCTCGTCATACCAGAATGGGTGAGAGATAACCACCATGCTATCGGATGCCCTCGCTCCGTGGGGTTGCACTTTGCGTTGATCCACCTGAGAGCTGACTATCCCGTACCGACTATCAGCACAAGCTGTATCCCCGGAATAACATTTTCCTGACTGCCGTCATCTAGGCGTTATGCTTTATACCCAGTCTTCTGCGCTGCGCAGTTGGAGACAACGACCTTTCTCAGTGCCGATCAGTAATGATTGTAATAATGGCAACGACGACAGTCATTTAGAACATGTTTGCCGTATGGCGAAGCTGTTGTCAGATGTGTAGCTGGTTTCCCACGGATATTGCACAGCATTTACGTTGGTTGAGGGGGGAGCATAGCAACAGCCTCTTCCGTCGCGGTGTTTGAGGCCGCGTCGTCCCTTCTGGCGAAACGGTGCCATTTGCTCGTTGTGCCGTTAAATAGGTTGAAAACAACAGTTTGCTGACCAAGTCGAGTTGGTTAATTTCGATGCGACTGCCGCTCACTCGGCTTGTCTGTCGGTGTGCGAATGCGAACCAGTGGCGACACCGGTTTGGTTCGGTTTCGTCGATTCACTTTTGCCCATCCGGTTGTTTTTAGTGTACGCACACCAACCGTCCAGTTGCACTCGCACCCTTGAAAACGACACCCCGCTGTGACGAGCGAGGCTCATGAATCGACTGGCCGTCTGGCGCGCGTGTTTTGTGAATGTGTGTTTGTTTATGTGTATGTGTTTGTTTGTGGCACTGGCGCTCGCGAACGCCGTTGTTTCCGCCAAACTGAACAACGGCTACTTGATGGCCACTGGCCGATTGCGTAATCGCTACATGTCAGTCATTGTGTAGTGTGTGTGTTTAGACGGTTCCTCGCTGCGCTCGTCGCACAGCACTTGCTGGTGGTGGACGTTATATGTTTCATCTCCGTAGTCGTAGTCATAGTGGTGGTCGTCGTTCGTCTGTCACCTGCCGCCCGTCGGCGTTTATCCGCCCTCGAGCATCTCATGAGTTCCTTATCACCTCGTCTCGTCTCGTCTCGCCTTGCCTTTCTTGTCTTGCTGTACTCCGCCGCTACTCTTTTCTGAATCTGAATGTAAGTAAGTAACCATATCTGGTGCATATCTCCTTCGGTTCACCGTGTTACCTCACGTTCAGGTGTTGATCACCATGCTGGCGAAGCGTGACTGCCGCCAAGCGCCCGACGAACACCATGACTGACCCGGTGGCTAGGCGACAGGTGGTCGTCGACCACCCTCATCCCCGGCGACCGTCCTGCTGCAGCGTGCCATCGTCGTCCGCCGGCTGCGACCACCTGAACTGCGGCTGCTCCGAGGAGGTGTTCATTACGCGCAGCACTTCGCTACCGCTGCCGGCGCATATGAAGTACATAGACGTCCAGCTGTTGACCCTGCAGCACCTATACGTGGCTGTTGACGTATGTTAGAATTTGTTTCTTGTCCCGAACGATCGACCACGTCTTTCAGTCAGCTACATGTTTCAGGTGAAGTGCCGTTTGCGC